AACTCAAAAAAAAAAAAAAAAAAAGGGCAGCAACATGCAGACACGCTGAGATGAAAAATGCTTTAGGAAAAAGAAACATGTGTAGACAGTAGAGACTTCAAAGGAGTATTTATAAAATATATGGACTGGGTGACAGAGTAAAACCCATAAATATTCAAAAAGTTTTTTTTCCATTCCCCACCCATTTTTTTTTTTTTGGGGGGTTGGAGTCTCACTCTGTCGCCCAGACTGGAGTGCAGTGGCCGCTTCCGAACACCGCAGCCTCGACCTGCTGGGCTCCGACGATCCTTCCGCCTCAGCCTTCCGAGTAGCCGGAATTACAGGCGCGCACTACCACGCCCGGCTGATTTTTTGTAGAGATGAGGTCTTGCCTGTCCAGGCGGGTCTCGAACCCACGGGCTCAGGCAATCCACTCACCTCAGCCTCCCAAAGGCGCGGGATTACAGGCTGAGCCACCGAGCCCAGCTCCCCACCCATTTTTTAACACTTAAGTTTTTTTTTAAGTATTGACAGTGGCTGGGCACAGTGGCTCACACCTGGTAATACCAGCACTTTGGGAGGGGGAGGAAAGACCAGCCTGAGCAACGTGGTGAAACCTCGTCTCTACAATAAATCAAGAAATTAGCTGGGTGTGGTGGTGCATGCCTGTGGTTCCATCTGCTTGGAAGGCTGAGACGGAAGGATCGCCTGAGTCCTGCAGGTCAAAGCTGCAGTGGCCCTGAGAGTATCACTGCCCTCCAGCCTGGGCGACAGAGTGAGACTGTGACCCCCCCCCCAAAAAAAAAGTACTGATACTATTCTCATATGCATTTTCAGGGTGTTAGGTAACAATCCCAGGAGAGCCTCCAGAATGTTAGGTCAGACCCACCAGGGGTGTGGATGGATGTCTGGTGTGCAATCTAGTGGCGTGTGAGAGATCAAATAATTGCACAGAAGTTAGATTGGAAAATATAGTTTATTTTAAAAGTAAGTTAGAGAGAGAGAGAGGAGATTCACCTCCCCAAGGTAAGAGAGAGGGTCAAGGCTAGGAAACATGGCGACAGGCTGCTCAAAGTCTAATTCTTTTTAAACTTTTCCTTGGATGGTAGAAAGTCACTAAGGTGACTGGGTGGTGATCTGCTCCACATCATCACGGAGGGCAGGTACGCACAGGTACTGATGTCAGGTGATGGACAGCAGGCAGATGGGTTGGTTAGTCACTTGACAAGTAGCCATGTTGAAGGGGTCACAAGGGTTGATTAGGCTAACTTGGGTCTTATGGGCGGAGGCAAATACTTGAAATAGAAAACTTAATTAGTACAAAACAAGCTGGGGAGGCCGTTGTAAACAATTATCAGTAATTACCCCTGAGAAACCGGCCTCTGTCCTTGGCTAGTGATTAGAAGGTAAAGTGAACCGTTAGAGAAACATGACAAATCTAGGCAATGTTAAAACGGCTGTTCATTGAGTATATTGACTCCATGTTATGTCCTTTCACAAAGTCAATGCTTTACTTTAAAAATTAAAACATGCCATAAAACTCAGAGAGTGAAGAGTCATAAAGGCAAAACGCCCCCCCCAAAAACCCACAATAACGAGACACAGATTATAGAGGAGCTCGAGGAAACTTTCGGGGGTGCGATGACGGTTCCGCCGATGTTCACGTGTCTAGACCTTTAAATCCTATGCTTCAAAGATGTGCAGTTCCCTGTGACTCGACCACAGGTAAAGCGGAGCAAAGCATAAAAGAGAAAGCAAAGGCGCCCAAACGGGCGGCAGACCGCAGGCCGCCCGCCGCCCCCGTCCGGGCCCGCGCTCACCTACCTGGGAAACGGAGCATCTGGGCGCGCTGGCCGGCGTCGCACAGGGCCTCCACCAGCTTGCAGCACTGAGTGGTCTTCCCGGCGCGATCCACGCCCTCCAGGACGATGAGCGCCCCGCGTCTGCCTGCCATCGCCGCCCCGCCGCGCGGCGCGCAGCCTAGCCGCACCGCCTCTGGGGTTCTCATTGGGCGGAGACAGCGGCGCGCGCCGATAGTGTTTCCCGGCCGTGTTCGGATTGGCTGGGACCGGCCGGGGCGAGGCGCGGGCGCGGGCGCCTGGCGACGGGACTGGTATCCGCGCCTGCGCTATGGCCAGCCTCGCTTCGGGGCGGTGTCCCGAGGACCGTTCCCGCCTGGGCAGCCGGTGGCGGTGACCCACGGGCTGAACGGCGGAGGCGCAGGGTCGCGGCGCGGACGAGGAAGTTCGGGGTCAGAGAGGCTCCCTGGCGTTCCCTGGGCAGCTTCGACGCGCGGGTGGACGCTCACGTCCCTGCGGCCGCGTGGAGGGGAGGGCGGGCGTTCGCTGGACGCGCGCGAGCTCCGGGACGGCGGTCGCCCGCGGGACGCCGGAGCAGCTGGGCGTCCCGCCGTACTGGTGCAGATTGTTGTCGAAGCGCCAGGTCCAGTGCAGGGACTTCACCGGGGCGTGCGCGGAACCACCCGCGAGCTTTCCAAAGCATGTCTGGGACCCACTTGACATCCTGTTTTCTACACAGGGAGCGAATAGGGAGCTGTCTAGACAGTGGCCACATGGCAATTCTAGAAGAACAATGGGATTAATAAAATTTCACTACTGTTTCTGTAAACACAGAACTGCAAGATGCTGGCAGTGCCGTTTTAAGAGATGATGTTACAAATTGTGATTCTTCCACCTCAGCCTTACAAATTGTAACTAGGAGACAAGTGGGCAAGTGGTTTCCTCTTCTTTGTGCCTCCAGCTCCTATGAAATGTATGAATGTAATGGTGATAAAAAGGACAGACAGCCCCTGTCATAGAGCCATGGAAAAGTCTAGAGAAGACCCCCGGCATCTAGAAAGCGCACATAGGCCTGGCGCAGTGGCTCATGCCCGTAATCCCAGCACTTTGGGAGACTGAGGCAAGAGGATTGCCTCAGCCTGTGGGTTCAAGACCAGCCTGGGCAACATGGCAAGACCTCATCTCTACAATAGATCAAAAAATTAGCCAGGCGTGGTGGCGTGTGCCTGTAGTTCCAGCTACTTCAAAGGCTGAGGTGGACGGATTGCCTGAGCCCAGTAGGTCAAGGCTGTGGTGAGCTGTGATTGTGCCACTGCACTCCAGTCTGGGAAACAGAGTGAGACTCCAACTCAAAAAATAAAATAAAGTGCCCATATGTGCTATTATTATCTTAGGGACATCTAGACTGCTTGGAATTTTTCTTTTTTTTTTAGTTGGAGTCTTACTCAGTTGCCTAGGCTGGAGTGCAGTGGCACACTCCCGGCCACTGCAGCCTCGACCTGCTGGGCTCAGGTGATCCTTCCACCTCAGCCTTCCAAGTAGCTGGAACTACAGGCATGTGCCAGCTAATTTTTTTATTGTAAAGACAAGGTCTCACCCTGTTGCCCAGGCTGGTCTCGAACCTGTGGGCTCAGGCAGTCCTCTCGCCTGGGCCTCCCAAAGTGCTGGGATTATAGGCTTGAGCCACCACGTCCAGCCAAGAGACTTTTTTATTAATTTAAATGTCAAAACACTAATACCTATGGGTTTGACATCATTTTCTCTGCTTAGAAGAAAAGCTAGGAACTGCTTTTCCCAGACCTTCATCTGTGTAGCTCTGGGTTAGAGTTTACCAATGAGAGGCACTTTTAGTTTGTATTTTTTGTTTATTTTTTGAGTTGGAGTCACTCTGGCATGCTCATGGCAACAGCAGCCTGAACCTGCTGAGCTCAGGCAATCCTTCCATCTGTCTTCCAAGTAGCTGGAAACACAGGCATGTGCCACCATGGCCAGCTGATTTTTTGATTTACTGTAGAGACGAGGTCTCGCCATGTTGCTCAGGCTGGTCTCAAACCCCTGAGCTCAAGTAATCCTCTTGCCTCTACCTCCCAAAGTACTTGGATTACAGGCATGAGGCATTGTGCCCAGCTTGCTAGTCCCTGTTTCTTTTTTCTTTCTTTCTTTTTTTTTTTGAGCCATAGTCTCACTCTGTTGCCCAGACTGGAGTGCAGTGGTATGCTCACGGCCATCCCAGCATCAACCTGCTGGGCTCAGGTAATCCTTCCATCTCTACTTTCCAAGTAGCATGCTACCATGCCTGGCTGATTTTTTAAATATATTGTAGAGACGAGGTCTCACTAAGTTGTCCAGGCTGGTCTTGAACCCCTGGGCTCAGGTAGTCCTCTCGTCTTGGCCTCCCAAAGTGCTGGAATTACAGGCTTGAGCCACCATGCCGACCTAGTCCCTCTTTCTTAATGTGCTGTAACTTCCATCACATAGGGATTCTGTCAGACATTGCTAACTATCCATCAGTCTTTCTCACCTTTGGTCTGCTCTGGCTGCCATAATAAAATACCTTAGACTGGGTGGCTGAAGCAGCAGAAATTTATTTTCTCAGTCCTGGAGGCTGAAATTCAAAATCAAGTTCCAGTACGGTCATTACCTAGTGAAGGCTCTCCTATAGAGCTGTGCGTGGTCACCTTCTTTGTGTCCTTATTTGGTAAAGCACTCTGGTGTCTCTTCCCTTTTATTGGAGGACCCCACCCTTATGACCGCATTTAACCTTAATTAGCTCCTTTAAGGCCCTATAGTCACATTGAGGGTTAGGGCTTCAACATGAATTTTGGTGGGACACAACTTAGTCCATAGGACTCATCTATTTCTAGAAGAACAGGACTGTGGACCGGGGTGGCTCGATCCTGTAATCCCGGCACTTTGGGAGGCCGAGGCGAGAGGACTGCCTGAGCCCAGGGGTTTTAGACCAGCCTGGGCAACTTGGTGAGACCTCGTTTCTACAATAAATCAAAAAATTAGCTGAGCGTGGTAGCGCGCATCTATAGTTCCAGCTACTTGGAAGGCTGAGGTGGAAGGATCGCCTGAGCTCAGCAGGTCAAGGCTGCAGTGGCTGTGAGCATGCCACTGCACTCCAGCCTGGGCAACAGAGTGAGACTCCAACTCAAAAAAAAAAAAAGAAAAAATAGGATTGTGTTGGGCACATCACTGCCCTGCTATACTCGATTTCTCAGTCCTTCTGGCAGTTAGATGTGGCCAGGTGACCAAGTCACTGTAAATGAAATGTTAGCAGATGTGACATATGTACCTTCAGACAACAGGCTTGCATCCTGCACACTCTCTCCCCAACACACACCTTGTTGTAATCCAGTGTTGGCTGTGCAGACAATGCCAGGCCCTTTGGGGGCAGATACCAGGCCATAGCAATATGGGTCCTTGAGTGACCATGACTGCCCACTACTAGGACTGTTCATATTAGAACTATTACACAAAGAAATACAATTCTTTGTCTTTTCTAAGCCACATTTCAGTTGAGTTTCTTTATTAGAGTAGCTTTCGCCTTCCCCTAAAGCAATGGTTCCCAATTGGGGGTGATTATGCCCACACAACAGTGTCAGGCCCAAAATGTACATCGTGCCAAGACTGAAAAACCTGCCCTAAGTCTATAGCAGTCAAGGCAGAGACAGCAAGGGAGTTATATCTCTGACAGTTTCTTTCCTTTTATTTTTTTGAGTTGGAATCTTATTCTGTCGCCCAGGCTGGAGTATGAAGTGCAGTGACATGCTTACGGCCACCACAGCCTCAACCTGCTCAGGAGATCCTTTTGCCTCAGCCTTCCAAGTAGCTGGAACTACAGGCATGTGCCACCACACCTGGGTAATTTTTTGATTTATTGTAGAGATGAGGTCTCACCAAGTTGCCCAGGTTGGTCTCAAACCCTTGGACTCAGGCAATCCTCTCGCCTCAGCCTCCCAAAGTGCTGGGATTACAGGCTACAGCCACTGTGCCTGGCCAAGAATTGTTTTTAGGTGAAAGATATGAAGATCAATTTCTCCATAATCAGTAAAGGACACAACGAAAATTATGGAAGACTACAAATAGCCAAGAAATATGTAAAAAAAAATGTTTTTACTTCACTTGAAGTACAATTAAAAGTGGGCAAAAGACATGACTAGACTCCTCTCAAAAGAAGATTTATGGGTAGACAACAGATCATCAGAGAAATGCAAATCAAAACCACATTGAGATACCAACTAACCCCAGTAAGAATGGCCATCATTAATAAAACAAACAACAACAGATGCTGGCGAGGATGTGGAGAAAAAGGAAGGCTTCTACACTGCTGGTGGGAATGCAAACTAGTGCAACCTCTTTGGAAGATAGTGTGGCAATTTTTGAAAGAACTAGAAATTAGCCGGGCTCGGTGGCTCAGCCTGTAATCTCGTGCCTTTGGGAGGCTGAGGTGAACGGATTGCCTGCGCCCGCGGGCTCGAGACCCGCCTGGGCAGCAAGACCTCATCTCTGCAATAAATCAAAAAATCAGCCGGGTGTGGTAGCGCATGCCTGTAATTCCAGCTATTCGGAAGGCTGAGGTGGAAGGATTGCTGGAGCCTCGCAGACGAGGCTGCAGTGGCTGGGAGCGGCCACTGCACTCCAGTCTGGGTGACCGAGTGAGACTCCAACTCAAAAAAAAAAAAAAAAAGAACTAGAAATTGACCTTCCATATGACCCAGCAATTCCCCTACTGGGAATATACCTGGAGGAACTCAAATCATTCTACAAAAAAGACCTGCACACATATGTCTGTTGCAGCTCTATTCACAATAGGAAAAACATGGAACCAACCATGCTGCCCATCAAAGCTGGACTGGATTAAAAAAAAGTGGTACATATACACAATGGAATATTATGCAGCCGTAAAGAAGGACAAACATATGGACTTTGCAGCAACTTGGATGGATTTAGAGCGATCATCCTCAGTGTTCTATCACAGAAACAAAGAACAGAGTACCATATGTTCTCATTCATAAGTGGACCTTGAACGATGACCATAACACTATAAGAAAGTGATTGGCAGTAGTGGGAAACTTCCAGGGGAGGAGGGATGGAATTGGCAGTTGAAGGAAACTGCTAGAGGAGAGAGGGGTACACCTCATCAACAAGGGTACCTGCATAATCAAC